AATGTGTTTAAACAAGATAAATTTAAACTAACTATAACAGGATCTATCCAACTAATGATGGCTATAAAGCGCTGGAACAGATCTGAAGGGTTTGGGTTTATCCATCAGACTAAATTTTTAGTGCAGGTTAGACAAAAATTGCTCTCTAATGCTTTATAGTTGATCCTGGTTTTAGTAGGGGAGCGGAGTAGATGACTACTTGAGGTCATTTCAATTCTGCTTTTTATTATATAAATAAGGAGCTAACACATCTGTTGACATTTCTTACTAATATGTGAAGAATTATAATGTGATTTACTTGCTTCAGTGAGAGAAAATGTCTTTAAGCCTCAAATTTCTACCTCTTTCTCACCTTCCCCCCCTTAAATTTATTTATTTTTTAACATTATGCTCTTTGGGCTTTTCAGAGTCTGATACTTTTTCTTCCCAAATTGCCAGCTATACTCATGCAAATGCCTTTTCTTTTTGCTTTGCTCACTTGGACATAAATGGGAAACTTAATTTGTTGTCTTGCTTCCGGGGAGCAGTTGGCTTCAGACTTGTCTAATATTTATGACTTGTGTTTTTTTTGTTGAGTTTATATAATGTGCACATTACATGGGGTGTCTTGCTGGGCTAACCCTTAATCCTTGCTCTGGGACTGATCTGGATTGGGCCCCAGACTATCCATGCATGCCAGGGCTAGCCAGTCCATGCAGCATTCACACTGTGCTGGTCTGGTGCACCACATGCAGAGTGAGCCCCAGAGTGGGGCCAGCACATGCTGTATGTGCTGTGTCGGGGTGTACCAGCCACGCACACTGCTTGTGGCAAGGGGCCAGCACAGGACACTTGCTGCAAGTAGTGCCCTGCCGGATTGGCCCTACGTGAGGCTCTGGTGTGTGGCCCTGATCTGGACCAGGCACAAAGCCAACACATAGGAACATTCTGGTGTTGGCACTGCATGCAGTGTGCACCCCAGACTGATCCCTGTGCCATATCTAGTGCCCATGGTACTAGGTCCAGTTTGCATACTACACTAGCCCCACAGGGTGCATGTGGCATGCAGGGACAGCCTAAGACTTAAGGGCTGCATCATGGTGCTTCAGTGGGCTGAATCCAGCCCACAGGTGTTATGTTGGACATTCGTGATCTAAACTAAATTGGACAAATGAAATAGTCTCCACACAAAAAGAAATTTCTGTTGTGGTGATTTCAGGTAAAACTGCTATGAAGGGTAATCTGGGTAGAATGTAGCATACTACGTTCCATTTCCTTTGAGGGGAATACTTAATTATGATTTTTTTTGCAAATGCAACATGCCTTATTTTTTTTCAGGTTCTGGGGAACCAAGTGAAGCACGGATCTCTTAATTTGAAGATGAAGTTTGTGTGCGCCCAGTGCTGGAGAAATGGCCAAGTTAGTGAGCCAGACAAAAACAGAAAATACTGTAGTGCAAAAGCAAGACACCCGTAAGTAAGGTCGATTCTTTCTGATGTGCAGTATCTTTTTCAGGGAGTTTTTTAAAGATTTTTATGGGCAATATTTTGTTAATCTTGCATTTAAGGAAATTTTGCTAAAAGGAATGCAAAAAAGTCAGTATGGGTAAAGTGGAATGTGGTAGAAGATATGCTAAATATCTTTAGATGTAGGGTGATCATATTTCCCTTGTCACAAAATAGAGCACTACATTTCAGCCATCTCCAGGCTCCGATAAAAGTGGGAGCTCTGGTCTTTGTTAGGTGGGGGATCCCAGGAGAAAAACTGTCCCGATTTTGTCAGAATAGTACCATTATAAATACCTGTCCTGGGCATCTTGTTGAAGAAGGGAGAAAAGCATTGATTGGAATGTATTTGTGGGGTGCCCAGGTTGTACATTTTAAAATGGCAGTACCAAAGTGAAAATGGGACATTTGGCCAGCCTACATGTATACTTTGTTCAGGAATAAGAAATTCACACAAAACACTTCAATTGGCAGCTCAAATGCATATTATTTTTCCTTTTTCTGACAACCATAACAGATGTTCTTGTGCAATTTAAATAAATTTTCAAATATATCAAGGGGTGTTTATAAGAATAACTTTTGGGTGCTTAATTTTCGCTGTATAGCTCCGCATGCTGTACCATTTGTCAGTTGCATTTTGTTTTTGAATACAGTGTCTCCATTTAATTTAGGTGGACCAAAGATCGTCGGGTAGTGCTGGTGATGTCTAACGAACGTAAGAAGTGGATGACCATTCGTCCTCTTCCCACAAAGAAACAAGTGCCTTTGCAGTTTGATGTATGTTTCTTAAAATTGACTTTTTCCATTGAAATCCTGAGGTAACTGGAAAATACTGTATTCTTTCGAATATAAGATGTCCTTGAATTTAAGATGCACCCAAATTTTCTGACTGTCAATTTAAGGGAAACAAACTAATCAAGCACAGGCATGTTTGGTGCATAAAAACATTTTTTTACTTTTTCCTCCACTCTAAACATGTGCAGGCTGCTTTTAGAAGAAAAAACTTAGTTTTAAAAATGCATCTTACATTCAAAGGAATACGGTAATTAGCCTAATTTCTGCAGCCATTTTTTGTGAAACTCCAGTGAAAACTTTAAAGTCTGCATGTGAAGCATGTGCAGGCCACATCTTAAGCACAACTGATTTAGCTTTTGTGAAGCACTTTCATATCTGTAAAAAATGAATATGGTTGTAGCTGGTGTTTAAAGTAGTATCAATATACAGGTAGTGCAAGAGTGATATTGTAGCCATGATGGTCCAGAAATTATGGGAGGGGCAAGAATTTTTTTAGGGTGATTAATTTTTTTTATTGGACCACCTAAAGAGTTGGGGAAAAGTTAGACATGCTTTCAAATGTAGGAGAGTCTTCCTCAGGTCTCTCTTCAAACACCTTATTTTCTAAAACCAAATTACTTGAAAGGATCTAATAGTAGTATATTTGAATGTAATAAAATGTAAACTTTACTGATACAGAAATGCTAGGAAGTCCAGCAATCATTCCATATTAACCCTTTTAACTTGATTTATGTTCCTAATCAATCTCTCTCTCTCCATGCATAGTTGTGCAATCATATTGCTTCAGGCAAGAAGTGTCAGTATGTTGGAAACTGCTCCTTTGCTCACAGTCCTGAAGAGAGAGAAATGTGGACATATATGAAAGAGAATGGTAGTAAGTATAAAGTGACAGGTTATTAAGTGTGCTATAAGGCTAATATGACTCTGTTTTCATCCCTGTATTCAAGTAAGTACCCCTTATTCCATTTTCCTTTAGTTTAGCCTTACCTAGTCACAATGTAAGCAGCTCATTTTTGAGTAAGCCCCAACTTGTAATTAAAATTTAGTGTCCAATATGAAGTTATGCCACTTTACATTCAGGATGAGTAGAAAAACTAGGCACATCCAGTTATAAGAATAAAATGAATGGTTCTTGTTAAATGTATATTGGATGGTGTTGGGTGAACCATGCTAAACCATGATATGCAAACATTTTTGAGCGTACCAAATTCCCCTGGATTCACACCTTAGTGGGATTCCATGTGTATAAATGTTTGGAGGCTATTTTTTTGCAAAAAACTAGCAAGTGCTTGTATTTGCATATAAACAAGAGTACTGATTATTAATTCTCACCTTTTTGCATGTTATCCAGTGAGGAAACTTAAGTAAAATATCACGTTGCTGCACAAATACTGAAGAATTGATGTGTCACTGGAGTCTGTTTCTAAACTGGGGAAACCGACTAAATTTATTAAACAGCTGTTTTGAAATGTAGTTGACAGTTATACCAAAAATCAGACATCAGTGCAACCAGAGCCCTATTATAATTATGGGCTATGGGTGCAAATATTTGCTATGCTTTTCTTCCAGGGTGTCTAGGTAGGGGAAAGTAATGGAATCAGACCATGGAACCCAAAGCTTCACTAAGCTGTTTTTCGTAGTCATTATGAGTATTTATACATGTACCTATTAGTTCTCAGGTGCGCTGGAGATCTGCTGCATCAGAGCAGACTTGATTAACTGTACTGCGTGGTTTGCAGTTGTATAAGGCAGTGAAATGCATGTCAGCGTGGAGAAAATGGCAGTGGTGCGCTTTTTTGAAGTAAAGCACCCAATGTGTTTTAGTTCAAAAGCGCACCACCACCATTTTCTTTGCATTGATGCACATTTTGCCACTTGTACAACTGCAAGTGGCGCAGTGCTGGGTGCTTTTCAAAGCTCCCAGTGCTGCAGCACTTGCACATGTAAAAATGCCCTTTCTCTCTTTCCTTACACGGTTTGTCATGTCCTTCATCTTCTTGAATTATTGGCTAGTTATGTAGTACGTGCAAACTCTTGCCTTAATTGCATAGTACTTATTTTAGCTTCTGCTCTCATTAGTTCAAGACATGGAGCAGCTCTATGACATATGGCTCAAGACTCAAAAACCAGAAAAAGGAGATGATACAGCTCCTCAGGCAAACAAGGAAAATGGGAAACAAATTCATATGCCAACTGATTATGCTGAAGTTACAGTAAGTAATGCAGGACAAGTAATATCCTAAACTGTGGAATCTTTTTCACCTGGTACCAAATACTTCGTTCCTTGTTCACAGTAACTGAAATATTCCTAGTTAGCTACAATGCCTGGACCTTTTAAGAATTCACAGTGTAAACTTTAGATGGACTGCACTGTTTCTTTGCATCTCTCAGGAACCTGCAGATGTGGTGATTGAATGTCCGGTGATAGAAAGCACTTTTGCTTGCAAATTGTCCTTTGGCTAATCAGATGCAGTAAAGCTGTATTAATGATGAGATTTTTGCATAATTTAAATACTTTTAATGTTGTTTTTATTTTAAAAAATTGTGTAAACTAGGTAGACTTTCACTGCTGGATGTGTGGAAAAAACTGTAATAGTGAAAAACAATGGCAAGGTCACATTTCTTCAGAAAAGCATAAAGAGAAGGTATTCCACACTGAAGATGATCAAAACTGCTGGCAGTATCGCTTTCCAACTGGGTTTTTTAGCATTTGTGATAGGTAAGTAGCTTTTAAATTAGATGATGTTAAATCACTTGGCTATTCATGATTGTGAATAAACATAATGAGCAAATGTTTTAATCTGTCACTTTTATAAATCACTTCAGCCAGCATAGTTGCATGTTAACATAGTTAAGTGTTTTGTCACATGATAAAACAACCCAGTTGCTATTTTTTGGAGCCAAATGTTTTGTGAGAGATGGCTTCGTGAGAGTCAGATGTGAATCTGTTTGGGTGGGTTCACAGCCTTGTTTCATTTGGATGAAATGTTGTTTAAATAATGTATTGGTAAATCACAGCTATTTAGTATGAATGCATTTAATCATGCCTGTGCAGATTTCTTAATGAGATACATAAAGCCTACAAGTAATTTAGCCACTTAAATAGAAAAGCTCTTTGAATATCAGATACTTGTATGCTCCTGGAAGCTATTTCTGAAATCTTATTGGTGTCCCAGGGAGCGCTGCTTCATAGTTTCATGGCAGTTTCATAGTTGGTAGGGTCGGAACGGACCTGAGCAGATCAAGTCCGACCCCCTGTCATGGCAGGAAAAAGTACTGGGGTCAAACGACCCCAGCAAGGTGTTTGTCTAGCCTCCTCTTAAAGACCCCCAGGGTAGGAGCCAGCACCACTTCTCCTGGAAGTTGGTTCCAGATCCTAGCCGCCCTGACCGTGAAGTAGCGCCTCCTGATGTCTAGTCTGAATCTACCCTCTGCCAGCTTGTGACCATTATTTCTTGTCACTCCTGGTAGTGCTCAGGGGAACAGGGACTCCCCCAATGCCTGCTGGTCCCCTCTGACTAGTTTGTAACAGGCCACTAGATCCCCTCTGAGCTTTCTCTTGTGGAGGCTGAACAGGTTTAGGTCCCTTAGCCTCTCCTCGTAGGGCCTGCTCTGCTGCCCCCTGACCATGCAAGTGACCCTCCTCTGGACCCTCTCCATGCTGTCCACATCCCTCCTGAAGTGCGGCACCCAGAACTGGACGCAGTACTCCAGCTGCGGCCTGACCAGTGCCACATAGAGGGGGAGGATCACCTCCTTGGACCTGCTTGAGATGCATCTGTGGATGCATGACAAGGTACAGTTGGCCTTCCTGACCGCATCCCCACACTGCCGGCCCATGTTCATCTTGGCATCAGTAGTGATTCCAAGATCCTTTTCTGCCTCTGTACTGACGAGAA